TGTAAGTGCACTTTATTAGCTGCTCTCACATCCAGTCTATAAACAAGGCCTTTCGGTCCTGTCTCCAATCTGTCCCTTTCTCTCCTTCCCTATTGCCATCACTCTATGCAATCTCCACCATATCTTATCTGGACTATTGAAGTAGCCCTATACCTGGTTCTCTTCCTTCTGTTCTTGCCCTGCAAAGCTGCCAAATGAGTTTTTATCCATTTGTTTAATTATTTCATTTGAGCAGATTCTACGAGTTTAACAGATCAAAAGGAATATCTACATAAAAATGTGGCTTATATTGTCTAATTTGTTAACTCCAAAAAGTTGAACCAACTTACACTTCACTGGTAGAGTATTTACACCTTCACCAACTTCAAATATTATCATTCTGTTTAATCTTTGCTGTTATCAAAATGGAAAATGATGTTTCATTGTCACTTAATTTACATGTCTTTGGTTACCAAACAGACTGAATATATCTTTTCATGTTTTTTGGCAATTTATACTTGTCCTTTTGAAACTGCCTTTTTCATGATTCTTTGCTTATTTGATGGGGAACAGATTTGGAGAAAGAGATTTTAAAATGATATATAGAACTCTTCATAAAATACAGATATTAACCTTTTCACCGCCCTATATGTTACATAATTTCTCCCACAAATTTATTTTATTGCTGCCTTTACTTATTATTTTTTAACCAAGGATCCAAGAAAGGTTGTTTATATTTGGTCGTTAGGTACCTTTAGTTTCTTTTTAATATGGAACTGTCACTCCCAAGTTTTTGTATGCATATAGTCTCTTACTTCTGTTAATTACTGTTCTATATATGCACCTGTCACATTAAATTTATCCATCTCCTTTTTAATGGAGGTCCAGCTTGTCTCCCATACCCTCCTCCCACAAGTAATGGTACAATACAAGTTCTTACCAATATCCTTTTATGACTGATGTAAGAATTTCTCTGGCATACATAAGCATGGTTTGTTGGGTTGTTGAGCAGTGCATATTTACATCAATAAGAATTACCTGTTTCTTTCCAGAAAGGTTTTACCACTCTAAATTCCCACCAGCAGTAGACTACTGAGACTTTTATCTTGTTTGACCATGTACTGGCAGCAAAGGTAAATTTCTAAGTATATCTCATTTGATCTCCTCCATATATAAATGAAGATTAAAATACTTACCTTATAATATTGAGATGAAGATTAAAGGTAACAGAACATGTAAATCACCTAGCACCAAACACTCACTCACTAAATACTAGCCAGTGTTACTATCATGTCTCTCCTATTAGGTTTTCTGCTCCTTGATGGCATGTATAAGTTTTCACCTACTTCTGCCTGTCTCTCCTCTCCCATCCCTAATCTTTGAATTAGTAATTGCCATGGGGGGGTACCTTTATTAACCTGGTAATTTATTTCTAGAAATGACAAGCTGAGTGGCAATAGTCTTGATTCCAGCATACATCATAAAAGATTTTGGTAAGAAGAAATCACATTTAAGTAGTTTATTTTATTAGATGCTGTGCAGTCAAGGATTAACTCAGCAGGTCTGGGTTGCCCAAAGCCTACATATTGCAAACAAAGGTTTGGCCCTTGACTGGCTTCTGGGAGACAACCTCTAAGCCCTTGGAATACCCTTATAAGCCTGATAAGAATGGCTTGATTTGCCTGGAGTCTGGGCTACACTAGGAAGTTTATGCCAACAATGTGATTTACGATGGGGGCTTTTGGCCACTTGGTATCAGTTTCATCTCTGGAGGGGCTGAGGCCTGAGTACCTAAGGTCAGTCACTTGATGCTCCATGCTATATGTCTGGCCCCCAATAAAAACCTTGGATCCAAGGCTCAGGTAAGCTTCCTGATTACCACAACTTCATGCTCATTGTCACACATTGTTATAGTGTTAAGGTGTAATTAAGCAATGTCCGTAGACACCATTCAGAGAAGACAACTGGAAATGTGTGTGGTCTCTCCTGGATTCAGTCCTATGTGCTTTTTACCTTTGCTGACTTTGATCTGCATCCTTTCACTGTAATAAACCATACCATGAGTTTAACAGCTCTTCTTTTTCAATGAAAATTTTTATTAGATTATTTTTCATGTATTTTCTCCAGCTTTATTGAGGTGTAATTCATGAATAAAAATTTTGTGAAAAATTTTGGTGTTCAACTGTTTATTGATAGTCATATAGATCAATAAATAGTCACCTCAACCAAGCTATTTAACATGTCCATCACCTCATACAATCGCCATTTTCTTCTTTTCTTTTCTTTTCTTTTTCCCTTTTCTTTTTTTTCTTTCTCTCTCTCTCCTTCGCTTTCTTTCTTTTTCTTTCTCTGTGATGAGAATACTTAAGCTCAACCTTCTTAGCAAATTTCAAGAATACAATACAGTACTGATAACCACAGTCACACTGCTGTAGGCATTAGGTCTTCAGAACTCATCTTGCATAACTGAAATTTTATACTCCTTGACAAAGATCTCCCATTTTCCCTCCCCCAAGTCCATAGAAACCACCATTCTACTCACTTCTTCTAGGAGTTTGGCTATTTTAGATTCCACATATAAGTGAGATAATATACTACTTGTCTTTCTGTGTTTGGCTTGTTTCACTTAGCAAAATGCCCTCTAGGCTCATCCACATTGTCACAAGTGATCATATTTACATCTTTTAAAATGATGAATAATATACAATTGCATAGACATATACATGTATATAACACATTTGTTTAAACAATCATCTGGAGATGAATGTTTCGGTTGTTTCTATATCTTGCCTATTGTGAACAATGCTTCAAGAAACATGAGAGTACAAATATCTCTTTTAGCTTCTGATTTTATTTCTTTTCCATATATACCCAGAAGTGGGACTGCTGGATCATAGAGTAGCTCTATTTTTTTTTTTTGGAGGGAAACTCTATACTGTTTTCCACATTGTCTGTACCAATTTACGTTCCCACCAGCAGTGTCCAGCGTTCAATTTTGTCCACATTCTTGCAACACTTGTTTTTTTTTTATCTTTCCTATAACAGCCATTCTCACAGGTTTGATGTGGTATCTCATTGCGGTTTTTATTTGTATTTCCTTGATGTTTAGTGAAATTGAGCATCTTTTCATATACCTGTTGGTCATTTCAGGTTTTTTTTTCTCTTAAGTTGCATGAGTTCTTTATATATTCTGGATATTAACTCCTTATTGAATATATAATTTGAAAATATTTTCTCCCATTCAGTAGATAGCTTTCTCACTTGGTTGATTATGTCCTTTGTTGTGCAAAAGCTTTTTATGCAATCTCACTTCTCTAATTTTCCTTTGTAGCCTGTGCTTTTTTGGTATCATATCACAAAAAATATTTGTCTGGATTTTCCCCTACGTTTTCTTTCAGTAGTTTTACAGTTTCAGGTCTTATCTTTGAGACTTTCATCCATTTTGAGTTGATTTTTATGAACAGTGTAAGACAAGGGCCCAATTTCATGGTTTGCATGTGGATATCCAGTTTTCCACATACCATAACATATGTACCTTTCAATTAGGGCCATTATTTTCCTACAGCCTCAGATGTTGAAGTAAATTATCTGGAGTTCCAACTTTTTGACTTTGATTAGCACAGAATTAAAGGTAAGAATAAAGGTCTATTTAATTCTTATCATATAACTGTCAACATTATGCAACAAACAATTCATCTCCTAAAAATTACTTTTATAGCCCTCCAGATCAAGGTCCCAGACTTCACAGTGCCATCATCCAACATTACTTACATTGTTATATTTTTGGCAATGCACTTTAACTGGGATTTGCACAAACTGGTATGTACGTGGAAGATAATCAATAAAGATGACAGGTTCATCCTGGCATTGAAAACAAATGGAATTAAACATTTTTGTGTAGATATAGAAGAGAAAACCAGAATCAAAGCATGGCTGAAATAGACAAGCAGTTTTGGGTTTAATAAAAGGACACAATTTCAAAAAATGACAGCCATCCATAAATAGATTGGGTCTATTTAAAATGTCTTCTTCCCTAGCTATATTTAAGAACAGGGTAGATGACAACTGGCCAACCTCAGGCCGGTTGTCACCTATCCTGTTGGGGGAATTTCCTACTCTCAATTTAAGGCCGGTGGCTTCTAAAATCCTGTCAGTTTCCTAGTGCTGACTGAAGAGTCTTCAGTCAAGGCCAAGTAGCTGTAAAGTCCCTGAGAGAAGGGGCAGTCTAGGTCGACTACCTGAGCTCAGGAAAAGAACTTATGTGTTTTTTCAGGAAAAACTGATTCTGAACACCAGTTTGCTTTGGGAAGCAGTGTCTGATCAGTGACTGTAAATGAAGGTATAACTCAGTACACCAAGTGCTGTTGACTTGTGTCCTCTGAAAATTTATATGTTGAAGCTCTAATCATCAAAGTAATGGAATTTTGAGATGGAGAATTTGGGAGGTAATTAGGTTTGGACGAGGTCACTACGGCAGAGATCTTCTTGATGGGATTAGCGCCCTTATAAGATACACCAAAGAGCTTGCTCTCTTTTTCTCTCATGTGAGGACACAGTGAGGTGGCCATGTGCCAGCTAGGAAGATCTCATTAGAATCTGACCTGCTGACACCCCAAGCTCAGACTTCCAGCCTCCAAATAAGAAATAAATTCCTGTTGTTTAAGCCATCCAGTCTATGGTATTTTGTTATGGCTGCCTGAGCTAGGGACACTAGCGCAAGGCGTGGGAGGGACCTAAGCTGGTGGATATACAGTCTACCTGAGTCTCTTTAATAAGGAGGAAGACTTACGTTCTTCAGAATTTCAAAGTGTTTATCATCTTTGAAGGAAGCATTGAATGCTCAAATATCAAACAGGAAAAAATATTCTAGTATATTTGTACCCCTAATTTGTGGAGAAGGTCCTTTCTGTTGCGTTAACTCTTTAACTAGCCAAGTTGTTTTCCTTTTATAGTTTAGTTTGGCGTCTGCAAAGCAGTATGTGCTATCCTGCCAGTAATTATAACAATATTTATGGAGTCACGATTAGTATTTCAGATTTCTGTACATCAGCTACTTATCCTAAGAGGATCAGAGGCTTTGAGTAATCTGTTCATATTCACCATGTTGGTACCATGAAGCAGTTCTGGACTGAAACAAAGACCTGGTGTTTTCTAAGACTGCCCTTCCCATGAATCCCACCGTCCAGGTAAGCTCTCCGTCAGCTTCTTTTTAGATTTTGGAAAAGGAACAGAATATTGTAATTACAGTGCGTATGTCACTTTTTCAGTACAGTATTCCAGACCTGGGAGCTGTTTCTGTGTCAGAAAGTGCCCATCTCTACAGCTGTTGAGAGCAACAGGAAAGAGTTGTTTGGTGATTTGGTGTCGAACCAAGGTGAAAAGTGTCATACAGGAACCCTCCCCACCTGAGCCTCCCAGACTCGGCTTTTCTCAGGAAAAAGAAATACGATTGGCGGTCCTGGGAGATGACGCACTTCCGGCGCGCTGCGAAGACCGAAGCCAAGACAGTCGAGACGTGTAGGTGTGGCCTTAGGTGAGCGGGCGCTGCTGGAGGATTTGGGCGCAGGCGCCGAGCTTGAAGCTGGAGCTGAGATCCGGGGCAGGGCTGCTGCCCCGCGCCGGCCTGTGGGGAAGCGGGGGCGGGGCCGGCGCGAGGCCTCC